TCTTAACTGTTGTTATATAAACAAATGCAAGAAGTGCTGGTTAAAGAGAAGCAGCACAAACCTGTCTGCACCACTTCTCACTAGGACTGCAGAGAAAGGGGCAAGAGTTATCCGGGACTCTTGTTTCCACATACTTTATTTATTTACACAGCAAGACAGAGTGTTTTTCCATGTCACTGTAAGACAGCGTTAGGCTCTGATGCTTTCTGATTGCTCACTCCTGATACATGCCTTTACTCAGGGATTCACCAGCATTTTCATTCCATGGACCACTCTATAAGGGCCTGATCCTATAAAGTGCTGAACACATTCACATCCACTAATTTCAAAGGCTGATGAGGGTATTCAATACCTTTAGAGAACTGATTCCATAGAGAGATCCTAACATTGCTCCCCTGTCCTGTTTTCATCACCCATTTACCCTCCATCTCACCCCAACGCTCTTCAGTTCTCAAAATATTCATGCCTCATGTTGATTGAAAAGGAGCTGGAAGATCACATACTTTACCACTGCTTTAACCTTTCCATTAGCATCCTCTGGGCCTATTTACTAACTGCTATTTAATATATTGTGGCCTTCACATCCAAAGCTGGATAATTTTCTTTTAGGTGATGATATTGCAAACTGCTTTCACATGCAACATATTGGATTCTTCTGCCATTATAATAGACTACAGGATGGTTATTTTGAGAGAACACAGTTCATGGGTTCTGATTCCTATTACTCATATACGAGGCTTTATGGGGGCATATTTTGCTTCAGTTTTTCTCCAGGGCTGCATCTACCCTGCACAGCTATTTTGGAATAAGCTATTCCGTAATAGGTATTCCGAAATAGCTTATTTCAAAATAGCACATCTACACTGCAAGGAAGCCTCAACATTAATCTGAAGCAGGCTTCCCTAATGTAGGCATGCTATTCTGATTTAGAGCCCCAGGAGAAATAACTTAGAATGGCCCTGGTGAGGGGCTATTTCAAAATAGCAGACATGGAGCATCGACACATGCCTTGTTTCAAAATAGCTATTTCAGAATAGGCATTATTCTTCGTATAATGAGGTTTACAGAAGTCGGAATAAGCCGTCCATTATTTCAAAATTATTTAGAAATAATGGAATTGCTATGTAGACACTCGCATAGTTATTTTGGAATAACAGCAGTTATTCCGAAATAACTTTGCTGTGTAGACACACCCCAGGAGTCCAAGAGGGTTTGGCACCAAAGCTTCTTAGTACAGCTCTATGGAGGGGTAGTGAGGACCCAAATATTGCCATATCTCTCAAGGAGCCAGAGGGAGGGAAAAACCTAGACTGAAGGAAATAGCTGTGTTGTAATTGAGCCAGAGGGGAAGGTAGGGGATTTAAGGAACTGGACCTCAGGCCCTACAACGTGTTAGCACAGATGGCGCTTTGTAGCAAGCAGATCTCCAGATCCCTGCTTATCTGGTGAAAACTATCAGTTTTAGGAGTCTGAAGATGTTGCTTTTTCTGCAGGGAGGCAAGTGAGTGGGGCAGGGGAAGAATCCCCAACAGAAGTAGGATTTGGAGGAAACTCTGTGAGGGGAATCCTGCACTCCCCCAGCTACCACCATGGGTATTTCTGCAGGAGAGGAACAGTTAGGCCCATCCTTCTGTGGAACAAAACAAAAGGATACAGCTTTGCTGTACAGTAGGCTTTTGGTTTTGTTCTCAGGAAACTTTTTAAATCTAAATGAACTACAGAAAATGATATAGCATCCCATGAAACTCATTTCTTTTTGTTGCAGTTGCATGTTTGCATTATTTTTTTAAAATTCAACTGCTCTTATTCTGGAATACTCAGTATTTAGAAGCCAGCCCTTTAACATTCATGGAGTTTTATGCACATACACATTTTTCTAGGATTAAGCCTTTATGTCTGGGTGTTATGAAGTAGAGTACACTTGAACCTCTTTTATCTGGCAACTTTGGGAAATAGGTTATACCAGATTATGGAATTTTCCAGACTGTGTGTGTTCATGTATACTTTTTGTTTTGAAGGTAAAAATAGAAACATTTTGCAAAGTACAGACAGTCCCCGGGTTATGTACAAGATAGGGACTGTAGGTTTGTTCTTAAGTTGAATCTGTATGTAAGTCGGAACTGGCGTCCAGTTTCAGCCGCTGCTGAAACTGACACCAGTTCTGACTTACATACAGATTCAACTTAAGAACCCCAAGTCAGCTGCTGCTGAAACTGATCAGCGGCTGATTCCAGGAAGCCTGGGGCAGAGCAACTGTGCCTCGGGCTTCCTGTAGTCAGCGCTGGTCAGTTTCAGCAACGGCTGACTTGGGGACGCCTGGGGCAGAGCAGCTGGGGTGCTGCTGGGTTGCTCCAGTAGCGCCGCTCCTCGGCGCTAGTCTATCCTCATGTAGAGTTTCTCGGGGCTTAGAAGTAAACCCATTGGTTGTTTTTCCCCCCTTCACCAAGCAGGGAGGCCCCTGCAGGACCACCCCGGCAGCACCCCAGCTGCTCTACCCCAGGGTCCACAACAAAAGCCTGGTCTGCTGGGGGGGGGGGCGCCCCCCCAGCAGACCAGGGACACGGGGAGCAAAGCCGCAGCGGCGGGGGGCCTGCCTCTGAGGCTTTGCTCTGGCGTGGGACCCGCCGCCGCTGCGGCTTTGCTCCCGGTGCCCCTGGTCTGCTGGAGACGGTCCCCAGCAGACCAGGGGCACCAGGAGCAGCTTTTCTCGCCCTGGAGGTCGAGGTGGCTGACCGCTGCCTTCGAGCTCTGGGGCGAGAAAGCCCCGTTCGTAAGTGCGGATCCGACATAAGTCGGATCCGCGTAAGTCGGGGACTGCCTGTACTGAATTTTTATTTCACATGTAACATAGACAGCAATACATATACGGTCTGGGGGGGGAAGGCACAGGAGTATATTGGGAATACGGTTGTAGGGGCTGGGAGAAAGGGAATGTGCATGAGGTTGGGAATGCAAGATCTGGAAGGAAGGTGGATGGAAGTGGGGTGCTTACCTGGCAACCCACTCTTCCAGGCACATGTGGCTTCATGACCCTCCTGCTGCTCCCAGGCACTGTCCTCGGCGGGGGAAAAGCCTCCAGAGAAGTGCTTTGCTGCACTGACGTTTCCCCTGCCGGGGAGAGGGGAAGTGTTAGTATGCAGAACTGCTGCCTCCCCTCCTGCCAGAATCTGAACCACAGGTGTTCCTGAATTAGGGACACCCAGATTATGGAGGTTCATGTGTATATGCAAGATTCCCATAGGTTTGAATGGGATCAGATTGTAGTCTAGAGAGTATTTACAAAGTACAGTGTATTTAGAAGTGCTAGTGAGTATCTAGAGAGAGTACAGTGTATTTAGAAATAAGCAGTGTAGTCATGCAATGTGCTATAGGGCTTTCATTCATCCTCATTTGAATTACAAATTAAAAGCCTTACCTCAGAAATATGTTGAGTGAGTACCTCCTAGTTAATGAGAGAATTGTTCTAACTGTTTTATCTTCAGGTACATTCTGTCACTAACAAAAGCTTCTCTTCTTACACCTAAGCGTAATAAAGAAAATAGCACAGTACATAGGAGAAGTTATGGAGGATTCAAAGGATAAAGTCCAGGAGAATCTTCTGGCCAATGGAGGTAGGTGCTGTGAATATGAATGTTTTTATTCATTGATGCTTTCTTTATCTATGTTAGAATTTGAACAAATAAGACACCTGCTTTTTGGGAGGGAGAGCAGGAAATTCTGTAATTCATTTTCTAAAAGAGATCTTAAGTCTGGTCCTGCTTCTACAGACATTAATACAAGCTTTTTCCAGTTTATTTCACTTTCACTTCCTCTTTCCATTGTCTAGGGTCAATTTTTCATTTAAGAAAGAATTTTTATCAGGCTGGGGAGGGGAATAAAAAAGAAGGTAGGCGTCATTGTCCCTTATTGAATGAACAACTCACAATCTCTTGTGGGATGCATGGTTTGGGGCCACTGAACCTTAATCTGTTCTATCTGATTGGAATTCTAGTTCATGACATCAGTTAGCAAAGGCATAAATGAGAGGAACTTTCTGGTAACTTTAGTTTTCCCTACCTGCCAGTGACATAAGAGGACATGTTGGTCAACCTCAGAGCCAGACCATCAAGAATAACTTCATCATATGGAAACTAAATGCCAGTTCTGGGCATCAGAACAGCAGACATTGTATTTGTATACAATGTGTCACAATACACCAAGTAATAAGCAGTGCTTTACGCAGTTTTCTGTACCAGTAACTTAGAATAATGGTGTTCCTTCTTGATACATGGGGCAAAAATCCTGCTTTATTCACTGTACAGGAAGAGGCAGCAGGTCATGATCTTGCTCCAGTGCCAAAAGTGTTTTGAGATGAGCTGGCTATGCTCTCTTGAGGACACAGTGAGTGACCAGGACACTGGCCTGCCTCTTACAGGGCAGGACCAACTCCTTTGCAGTCAGTAGCTGTGTTCTAGCTGGATACACACACATGCTGCTGCTATTGATTGGTGTGCATTCCCTGCCACTCTCCCTGTGCAATTCTGCTTTGGCCAGCAGCAGTTCTGCTCTATCGAGTGCTCCTCATTCTCAGAGCGCTTTACAAATATTAAAATGACCTCTTTTTGTGTTATCTGTTGTAAACATCATTCATATGTCCAGAAGGAGAAACTAAGGTCCAAGGCCACAAAGAGAATCTATGTCAATGTTGGAATTAACATTTAGGAGCTTTTGACTTCCAGTCTTGTGACTGTATGATTAGCCTATGAATGTCGTCTCAGCTGTCTGTTCTCCTAGGCTACGTTTACACTGGCATGATTTTCCGGAAATGCTTTTAACGGAAAAGTTTTCCGTTAAAAGCATTTTCGGAAAAGAGCGTCTAGATTGGCAGGATGCTTTTCCGCAAAAGCACTTTTTCCGGAAAAGCGTCCATGGCCAATCTAGACACGCTTTTCTGCAAAAAAGCCCCGATCGCCATTTTCGCGATCGGGGCTTTTTTGCGGAAAACAACTCTCTGCTGTCTACACTGGCCCTTTTGCGCAAAAGTTTTTCGGAAAAAGACTTTTGCCCGAACGGGAGCAGCATAGTATTTCCGCAAAAGCACTGACAATCTTACATGAGATCGTTAGTGCTTTTGCGGAAATTCAAGCGGCCAGTGTAAACTGCTGGCAAGTTTTTCCGCAAAAGTAGATGATTTTGCGGAAAAACTTGCCAGTCTAGACACAGCCCTAGGGTATGTCTACACTGCAAAGTTTTACCAGAAAAACAGCTATTTTTCCAGAAAAATTACATTTACGTCCACACTGCAATTGAATTCTTTTGACAGAAAGTCGAAAGAATGAAGGGGTTTTTCCAATAGCATTAAACCTGTTTTTACAAAGAAGCAGCCTTTCGGAAAAAGGTGTGTGTGGACGGGGAAGAGGGGTTTTTTTTCGAAAGAAGAGGCCTCCAGGAAAAAGCACAGGTGCCCTGATGGCTACTCCGTCGATAGTAATCACAACTTAAAAGTAAGAATGCGTCCAATAAATGTGGACACTATCTTTTGAAAAAGCAGATTGCTTTTTCAATGTGCTTTTGCTGTGTGGACGCTCTCTTTCAAAAGATGTTTTTCCAGAAGATGTCTTCTGGAAAAGCCTCTTCTGAAAGAAGCCTGCAGTCTAGACATAGCCCTACTGTTTTCTTAGGGTGCAGTCTGCTACCACAGACATGTAGTGATAAATCTTTATATACCAGAGGAATACATTGGCATGTAATTTGTGTTCCAATTTTAAACAAGTAGTTTAGCTTTTGACTGTTTGCATTGTTTTCTTTCCAAATCCTGTAGGAATACTATAGGGGTTTCTCCTTTAGAAAAGCGCCTCTTTCATGAAATAAAATCTGCATCTGATCAGTTGAACTCTGAAAGTTTAATAATCTCACTTATTATGTTTCAGGACTGAAGAATAAAATGAAGTGTCTAAAGAGTATGTTGAGTATTGATTGTTGCTGTGCTTTTCCAAGCATGCACTTGAGTGTGTTAATGCTAATGATGGTCTTTCAGTCTGGTTGTAGGGATACAGTGATCAGGTTACGAGGGATTTCTCAAGTAACAACCTCGAAGCTCGATCACGATATCCCTATGACTTAGGTAACAACAGGTTTAACCCATTTTCTTATATTTCTTCATTTTACCCTTTTCTCTCCTCTAACAGCACTGCATGCACAACAGACAGATGTGGGAATGAGTTGCCTGTGCAATATTTGTTACAAACATCTATGTTCTGATGATCAAGATAATTCATTTATTGCTTCTCACAAATGGGCTGTGTCTAGACTGGCAAGTTTTTCCGCAAAAGGAGAAGCTTTTGCGGAAAAACTTGCCAACTGTCTACACTGGCCGCTTGAATTTCCGCAAGAACACTAACGATCTCATGTAAGAAATCAGTGCTTCTTGCGGAAATACTATGCTGCTCCCGTTCGGGCAAAAGGGCCAGTGTAGACAGCTCAGATTTGTTTTGTGCAAAAAAGCCCCAATCGCAAAAATGGCGATTGGGGCTTTTTTGCACAAAAGTGCGTCTAGATTGGCACGGATGCTTTTCCGCAAAAAGTGCTTCCAATCTAGACGCTCTTTTCCGCAAATGCTTTTTTTTCCGCAAAAAAACGGAACTTAAAACTTTTCCGTTAAAAGCATATGTTTTTGGCCCTGGTTAAAGTGAGTGGGGAGTAGGGGTGTGGGTGAATGAGAGAAAGCATGTGCAGGGGGAGTAAAGGGTGTGCAGAGGGGGCTGCTCCCCGGTGGCTCCTTCCCAACAGCACACATTAGTAATCCCTATTCCTAGGATTTCCTCTGAAACAGCTTTAGGAGCCTGGCCAGATGTGTGGGGTGGGCAGGAGGTGGTGGTGTCAAATGCACTCCCCTGAGTTGGGGGTTTCAGAACCCACCCTCCCCCAGTCTCTCTGCCTCCATTCCCTAGAGGCACTCACATTACAGAGCCAAGTCTGCAGCTCCCTCCTCTCTTGCCTCACGGCAAGGACTGCATTCCTGGAAACCAACTGCCAGGCAGGCACACAAGGTATGTGTATGTGTCAGTGCTTTGGCCACATCAGGCTACAGCTCCAGAATTTCGGCCATGGAGTAATATTTTTGTGCACTAAAGAGTTCTCCTTTGCAATAAGATGTCAGACGTTTAGACATCAGCTTCACATCATTATCTGAGATCAATATTATCCTGACTTCAGAGAGGGAGGAAGGGAAACCCCAAAATTAAAGACTTGCCCAAGGCCACAGAGCAAGTCAGCATGAGCTCCTGCTTCCCAATTCCATTTCCAGCCTACTCAACCATACTGGGTCAAATTCTCTCTTCAGTTACAACTGTGCAGTTTCATTGGGTTTCAGTGGGGTTGTGTGAGATTAATGGTAACGAGGCCCAGAGTTTCTGAATTCGTAGACAACGACTAGACCTGTGGCACCTTAGAGACTAACAAAAATATATGAGATCATTAGCTTTTGAGGGTAAGATGACCAACTTCATCAGATGAGTTGGAGTGGAAATAATAGAATCCAAGATCTATAGAACAGCAAAAGAAATGCCTATCAATTATAGGACCCATGTTAATGAAGCTAATTAAGTGGGCTGGATATGTCTTATTCATAGTTTTTGATGTGAGAATGCAAAGGCAGGAGAAATTGGCTTTGTAGTGCATTAGCCAGTTAATGTCTTTATTTAAGCCCATGGTAACTGTGTCAAATTTGAATACGAATTCCAGCTCTGCAGTGTGGGTGGTAAAATTACTTTGTAGACGGACGGCTACTTTTAAATCCATGATTGAGTGACCAGGAAGGTTAAAATGTTCCTCTGTAGGTTTATGTGTGCTACCGCTCCTGATAATCTGATTTGTGTCCGTTTATCCTTTGTCACAGAGACTGTACAGTTTGGCCAACATACATGGCAGAGGGCCATTGCTGGAAATCGATGGCATACACCACATTAGAGGATGTGCAGTTGTATGAGCCCCAGATGCTGTGGCTTATGTGGTTAGGTCTTGTGATAGTGTTGCATGTATAGATGTGTGGATTTTAAATAATGGATTTAAAAGTAGCCATCCTTCTACATAGGAATTTCACCACCCAATTAGAGAGAGAGTGAATGACAACCAGTGCTCATCTCTTGCTTCTGACAAATAGTACCAAGTCGCAGGCATGTGAATTTAGCACTCCAGATTTTCTCTCCTGCTGTTCAAGTCGAATCCTAACTTTCTTCCAAACGCTGTGTGAGCCAGTCATAATTACACTTCCAGGAAGATTGACGCTCTGGAGGGCAATCTTCTGGCAGGTGTGATAAGGACCTGCTAAATCAAACACTGAGGGCGCCCCCATAGACCCTGGAACTAGGAATGTCAACGGGATAGTTTCTCTCATCGACCTCCCACTGTGGGACAGCCCAAGAAAAATTGATGCAAGGTACATCAAGTCCAGCTACGCAATTCATGTAACTGGAGTTGCATATCTTGCATTGATTTTCTCTGCCATGTCGACCTGGTCAAGGCTTACAGATTTACTGTAACTAGCTTTCATTGGTGTTGCTTCTGCTCTAAGGCTTTGTCTACACTACACGTTTTTGTGGCAAAATATGCTAATGAAGGGCTCATTAGCATAAGTTACTATCTCAGCATATTTCCTGCCATTTCTTTTTGTGTAAGGGTTTTTTGTGCAAAAAGAAGCCGTGTAGCCGCTTCCGTTTTGCAAAAAAAAACCCTGTTTTGTGCAAGATCCTTATGCCTCTCCAGGATCTTAAGGATCTTGCATAGTTTAAAGCGAACATTATGATACAACATGGGGACTTGTGAGCTTATCCCATTAGACAAACTTGCATAAAGTCAATACTGCACTGAGGTTACATCAGTGTACTACTTTTCTGGGTTGACTTGTGCAAAAAATATTGCCTGTTTCATAACAACATTGGACATATTGATGAGAGAAAACATTCATTTGGTTTTGTAACGTCTGCTCAACCTTTGATGGTACCAGATGCTAAAGGTCCCTGTTTTTCAAGTATTAAGTTGTGGCAAGAATCCTTTTTGCTAGCTAGGAATAACTAGTACATTTTTCCCACATCACAGGAAGGAATAGAGGCTCCCATTACTCAGTTTCAGAGTGACTCATTCATGAGAGATGTATGCATAATAGAACATGCTGTGAATTTTTGACTTTGGGTCCTATGATTGATTTATTCTTCTATAGAATGACTGTTTCTCAGCTTTGCTTCCGTTAGCTTGGGAATTCTGAGTTTATGATTGCAACTGATACATTGTCTTCTAAGCCAAATCAGGAGTTTCTTGCTCAGTTCTGACTCAGTCCTTATTTAGGTTTGACTTCACGGACTGTCTGATGGAGTCATAACTGAGTCACAGTATCAGCTGTATTAGTAGCAAACGGGATCAAATATTTCCCTGAATGCAATTCCATTTACTCCAGTGTTTGCACCAGTGATGGCTCCTACTGATATGATTACAAACTTCAGCCACACTTTAATAATATGTTTCATAAACATATTTGCCTATTAAAAATAACTGCACATTCTGGTACTATTTAATATCTTTTTTGTTCAGAAGTGGCACAGATAAATTTATAGTGACACTAGCTTCATGATAGACACTAATGCTCCTCTCCCCCAAAATATTTTCCACTGGAAGTTAGGAGTTTGAATATGGTTGAGGATCTGGGCCTAATTGATTAGGAACAATTTGCCTCGGTGAAGATGTGTGACTTGATCATTAATTAAAGTTGAACCTGTTCTACAAAAGTTAAATTCTGGATCAGATTTTTTTCCAAGTTTGAAGGAGTGTTTAGGGTTGTAGTTGTAGTTTGTGAAGTTCAGATCTAGAGTGCAACTAGGGAGCTATTCAGAATTGGATTCTGGGTTCAGCCCATCGCTAATGTTAATGAAAGGTATATCACGTGTAAAAAGTGGAGAATAGCTCCCAAAGTTCTAGTTTACATTCAGTTTTACAACATAGTGGATTTCTCAACTTGCTTGTTTCATACATTTATTTGTATCTTTTCAGTTGACCTAATTAGTTATCTGACCCGGTTTGAGTGGGACATGGCCAAATATCCCATAAAACAGCCACTGAAGAATATTTCAGAAGCATTAGCAAAGGTAAATCATACTCACAGATGTCTAAAAAGCATCCAAATGGAAGTATCAAGCTGTCGCAGTTCTCAGGGATAGTATCCGTATCTGATCCTTCCCTTTCCTTATCACAGTCAATGGAGTTTTGCCATTGATTGAGTAGGAGCAGAAGCAGACCCTGTGTACTGAAATAGTGTGAGTTTTTCATTATGAAATAATGCTGGTGAAACCTACTGGTGTCACAGGAGGAACAGTGTGCCTTAACAGCTCTTCCTAGAGTATTTTTATATAGACTTCCTGCCACTTTAATCTCCTTTATTATAATACTTTTGCTATTATTATATATTGCCATATTGTTCTCCATATGGAAAATATTGTATTTTTTCTACAGTGTTCATGGCTTTACATTAAATCAAAATACATCACAGGTTGAATGAATTATTTACACTGTAAACTTCTTGGGACAGGAGCCATCTGCTATTTTATATCATTATAATGCTTAGCACAATAAGGCCCTGATCCTACTTGAGGGCCAATGCATTGGATATAATGGAAGTTGGGGTGAAAATTCTGTTTACAGCCATCCTTCTTATAGTTATTTTCTTAAACCCTGGTAAAGCTACCTCTTTGCAAATACCGCACCCTTCATTAAACAAACATGCCATCTAGTAACTCTTACTTATGATAGAGGTGCACTGAAAATGTAATGAAAATGTACATTAAATGAAATTAGTATATGGTCCACTTCCTTGCATTGTGCTACTTATTCTACAGAACTGTTGACTTTATAAACATAAACCAAATGCATTTATTTCAGTCATATTTTTCCATTTATATTTAGCAAATTACACAAATAGAAACAGACCTGAAGTCCCGAACAGCAGCATACAACAACATTAAAGGAAATTTGCAAAGCCTGGAAAGAAAAACAGTGTATGTACAGTGTGTGCCTGTGTGTGTTGAATATTTATACTGCTGGTGTTGTTTGTATATAATATATTTTCCAGACTACTTTCAGAACATATGCACATTTATAAAGGAATGAGTAGAAGGAATGATTTTTACAAGTGCTGAGCATCCACAGATCCAGTGGAAGTGAACTGAAAATGGGAGTGTCAAGTACCTCTTAAAATCAAAATAATAGTTTCCTTCTGTTTGCTAAGGCTAAAGTTTGTAATTCTTACTATATACTAGAACTGGAAGAGTCATCAAGTCCAGTCCCCTATCAAGCACCATCTACATCATCCCTGACAGGTGTCTGTCTAATCTGCTCTTAAATATCTCCAGAGATGGAGATTCCAGAACCTCCCTAAGCAATTTATTCCAGTGTTTAACCACCTCGACAGGACGTTTTTCCTAATGTCCAACTTAAACATCCCTTGCTGCAATTTAAGCCCATTGCTTCTTGTCCTATCATCTGTGTCCAAGGAGAACAATTTTTCTCCCTCTTCCTTGTGACTAATTTCATTGCATTTGTTCTGAGCATATTGCATAGAATCAGAAATGAGAGATGGAGAAAATCTACTAAGTGAACCAGTACAATCCCATGCAATGTAGGTTGTTTAGCCTATATTTGGTTACAGAAGTCACATGCAATGAGGCATCCATTATTTCCCGAGAGACCATTAAACAGCTGTCTGCATCTCACTGATGATCAGCGTTCCCTTTCTTAATTTCATCCATTACTCATAGCTTGCCTTAGTAAATGTTTCTCACATCATCTCGAGTTAAAAAGTTCACTCTTTAAACATGTTGAGACTATGATAAATATAGGATTTGCTGGGTTCCCTTGATTTATTACATAGTTAATTTTCCCGAGAGACCATTAAACAGCTGTCTGCATCTCACTGATGATCAGCGTTCCCTTTCTTAATTTCATCCATTACTCATAGCTTGCCTTAGTAAATGTTTCTCACATCATCTCGAGTTAAAAAGTTCACTCTTTAAACATGTTGAGACTATGATAAATATAGGATTTGCTGGGTTCCCTTGATTTATTACATAGTTAATTTTCC